GGAAAGACAAATATAAATATTTCAATATGAGTTTAGTGAGGAGGACATGCATAAGTGCTCTAGGGATAGATTTGGGAAGATCTTAAATGCAGTCTGAACAGTGTCAGGGAAAACTTCTCAGACACAGACTGTGCTGAAATTTCAAGGGAAAGGTAGACATCAATGTTAGTTTGTTTTTATTAATTTTTATGTTGTAAAATATAATACATATAAAATGTATGTAAAGTATCACCCATCTGCCATGTTTAATTCTGATGAATCTATTTGGCCCCTTTTAATAGACTCTTTTAAAGGACTTATTTATGTCCTTTATATATGTATGTGTAGTGATACATGCACTATATGTATGTATGTTTCTCACAGGTAGTAATAGTAGTGAATATTTTATTAATATTCATTTTTAAGAGTACCCATTAGGGAGTGAAATGATCTTTTGGCATTTTTCATTATATTCAACCCCCAAAACATTTCACCTTCCATTTACCTTCTGGGATCAGTATTCTCAAATATATCCCTTTTACTTCTGTAAGAATTCTTTAGCTAATTCTTTATTAATCTTTTGATAAAGAAGCTTTTGACATCATAGACAAGGATTGCTCAATAACTGGTTAAGGTTTTGGCCAGTTTCATCATGAAGAATAACAGGATTAATCATTTATTTATGTGTATTCACATGGTGACGATATTGCTACATGTAGTGGAGTGATATTCCCACTTACCCATGCTGTGATAAAGAATTATTATGTGACCACTGTGAATGTTGAACACAAAAAGGCATAGGCTTGAGTGAAAGGGAGAATGGAAAAAGGATATAGGAGATCCTTCTCCCTTCTTTACTCATTCCCATACACAGAATGGAAAATACATCATTTCAGATTTCTCAATTTATACCTAAAGAGTCACATGGGATGTGAATTTGGCCATTGCCTTTCATCAAAGGATTGCTAAGAATCTTATAAGCATAGTCCCTAATCCTCTAAACACTCTTCTGAAGTTGTAGCTGGCAATATTATCATCTCCATTATAGAGAGTAGTAAATGGAAGCACTGACATACTAAGTGATATTTTTATCTTCCATTCAGAAATTTCCTACTGGCTTAAAGGCCAGTATTATTATCAACTTTATGAAGCTTAGTGAGATTATGTGATTTGCCCAACCTTAGGGGAAGAATTTGGCATAGCATCAAGGTTCCCTGAGTCTTATCTGCCTTACTAAGTTTATCTCCTCCCTACACACATACTCTTACCCTCAGCTCTGCTATTCAAAATAATATTTAATCCAATGTTTTAAAAGTCCTGTAAGGGAACCTCAAATCATGTAGCTTTATGAACCTTTGAGGTGTCATTCCTGGTTCTTAATTAGGAATCAAATGATAGTTCATTTTTTTTCTTGAATAATTTTTTCATATTGTAATAATGTTACATAATGAAATTCATCCACTTGTTCTGTTCTGATGAATCAGAGAATTCTGTTCTGAATACTGCCATGTGGCAAGTTAAATAAATTAGGAGGGGATGGTCTTAGAGGGCAGTGTAGCTAATTCTACAAATATAGTTACTTTCTTTTTCTGTCAATATAAAATTGCGTATCAAATGTGTTTATCTTAAATTCTCACCAGCAGTAACGTTGGTAGCAACCAGCATTTTGATCCCAGGAAACCTAAACCTAGTACACCTAAAGATGGACTATAGTATTTAAATTGTAGGCGTAGGAAAATTTGGGTTAAGTTGAAAATGAGAAATAACCTGTAGAGGTTATAAGTTTACCCATAAGGAAGAGGTAATTAGGGTATAAGTGGGTGCCCATTTAAAAATGAATTATTTACTTCTAAATTGTGATGATATACATAGCATAAAATTTCCCATTTAACCATTTTTAAGTGTACAGTTCTGTGGCACTTAAGTACAGGTAGCCCTTGAATAACTTGGGGATTAGTGGAACCAACTCTCCTCACAGTCAAAAATCCACCCATAACTTTACAGTCAGCATTCTGTATCCCTGGTTCTGCATCCACAGATTCACCTGTTGATTGTGTACTACTGTAGTACATATTTATTGAAAAAACCTCCAGTATAGGTAGACCCTCAAAGTTCAAACCCGTGTTGTTCAAGGGTTAACTGTACATTCTTGTTGTTGTGCAGCTGTCACCATCATCCATCTCCAAAACTTTTTTCATCTTGCAAAACTGAAACTCTACCCATTAAACATTAGCTCCCTATTGACCCCTTTTCCCAGCCCCTGGCAACTACCTTTCTATTTTCTGTCTTTATTAATTTGATTGCTTTAAGCACCTCATTTGAGTGGAATTATATATTTGTCCTTTTTTGATTGGCTTATTTCACTTAATATAATGTCTTCAGAGTTCATCCTTGTTGTAGCATGTATCAGAATTTCTTTCCTTTTAAGGCTGAATGATATCCATATAATACCTATATACACGTATGTACACACCACATTCTGTTTCCTCATTCCTGTGTCAAAGGACACTTGCATTGCTGTCACCTTTTGGCTATTGTGAATAATGCTTTTGTGAACATGGGGGTGCAAATATCTGTTTGTGTCCCAACTGTCAGGTCTTCTAGATATATAGTCAAAAGTGGAATTGCTGGATTATATGTTAATTCTGTGTTTAATTTTTTGAGAAACTGCCAAACTTTTCCACAGCAGCTATACCATTTTATAGTCCTGCCAGCACAAGAGTTCCAGTTTCCCTATCCTGGCCAACATTTATTTTTTGATAGTAGCCATCCTAATGGTTGTGAAGTGGTATCTTGTGGTTCTGATTTGCATTTCTCTAATGTTAGTGATAATGAACATTGTTTCATGTGTTTACTGGCCATTTGTATACAGTCTTTGGAGAAATGTCTGTTTGAGTTCTTTGCCCTTTTATGAGTGCCCATTTTTTTAAAACTAGGGTAGTAATCACAAGAGCTGCTTAAAGTTTTTCAAAACTATTGGAGATATATCATTTTTAATTGTTTACTAATACTGGAAGCAAATGAATAAATACATTAGGAAAATGTTTATCTCACATATCTAATCAAATTTTGCCTGTCTTCCTTTGTGTGTTTCATCCATCTTTTCCTCTTTGTTTCTGTCAACATCATCCTAATCCACTTAATATCATCTCATGTTTGTGTTATAGTTGTTCATGGGTTTTTAAAAAAGGGTAAAAGCGTATAGTAAGTGCTTAACTTAATAATTGATATCTTGACACTGGGCCCAGTTCTAACAGAATGGTAAGAATATATAGTCATAAATTCCTCTAGTAGTTTTGCTCTTCTTTAACTCCTTCCCATCAATTCAGCAAGGATTAATTTTGAACAGGACGTGAAATCTGAGTTTCTCTCTCTCAGGCTATGTGATGGTGGGCAAATCACACCAGCTCTTCCCCATTGGAGGAACTAAGTGATTTCTTTAGATTTCTGTTCGGCTTGTCTATTAAGTGTTTTTATGACTCAGTATTAGATGCCTGAATTATCTGAAAGCCATATTACCCACAATAAATCATGTTTTCAAATTCTCACTAAACTGTTAGAATGGGAGATAACAGTCTAACTCAGCTCACTTTCGTATTTTTGCATATTTTCTTGGGCTTCTTAGATAAACAAGATCTAAACTAGAAACCTTTTAAATACAAACATTTAGTTTCTCTAAGAATCAACTGCCACTAATAAAGCAATAATATTTTGAACAGTTAATATCAGGATGGGGTTTGTAACTAAACCGTGGCATTGCATCTTAACAGCCATTTTTTTTAAAAAGAAAGGATAAAAAATAGTATGCTGTGTACTTTTAGTTTTTGATTTCTACTTTTGAAGTTTTATAAATACAAAAACATCTCACACACTTGAATAGGGCAATATATATTCCAAAGCTAAATATAAGTACATTTTGGGATTATCTGCCATTTTTATTTTTCATACCTCTATTCTCTTCTTGCTTCGTTGAGAATTCACACTAAATGAATTTCAAGTGAACCTCTAAAAGATAGGAGTTTTTCTTTAAACCAATTTAGTTAATCTCAAGAAATAATGTTGTGTGATAGGCTAATGTAGATATAATAGCAAAAATAAGTGAACCATTTTGTTTTATGTAGTACAAAACAAAATAAAAAAATTTTTTTGCTTCATGCTCAAATTCTCTAATATTTTAAATAGCAATTTCCTTTTCTCAGGGATCAAGAAAGTACTTTTAACGCAGCACTTGTCACTGGGAGAACTAGTTTTAATTTATATTGACCTTTTTCTCCTTTGAGCATTTAGTCTGCATTCAATAAAATGTTGATGACTGCTCTTTAGAAGACAGCTGTACGAAATAAAGTATTATAAATATTCAGCTTCCCTTTCTAAGCATTGTCACCAACAGCTGGGCATCCAGTTTAGCAGAACAGATTTTGCACAGAGAGAGCCTGGCATGTTCCTGAATCAGTTTAGTGAAGGAGACAAAAAATAGTTTCTTATGGATTGGGGACTTATAAAGACATAGAGCATCTGTTCCTCAGTTAAGTCATAGTCTGGTAGCACTGAATCATGTTTAAAGCTAGAATAATGTGCAAAACTTTTTCACCTTGCTCATACCTTTATTTTAATACTGAGTGCATTATTTCTGCAAATAATATACTTACAACATCTCCATTGAAGGTATGTAAATTATTTTGCTTTTTTGTATAATTTTTTGTTAATAGTATTTTAAAACACAAATATATTAATTTTTACTGATATTATTTTAAAATAAAACTTTAATGTTTGAATTGTATGATAGTTCATTTATATAAAACCACATATAGAAAATCTATTTAAATATTTAATTATGGTTTCATCTTGATACATGCTATTAGAAAAACCAGTTTCATCACTGCAAAAATTGCCTTCATAGATACTCTACTTTAATTAGTGAAAGTAACTCAGAATCTTTGTTTATATAAGATATTACTCTTAAATATTTGTCTACTTAAAGCATATTAAATCTAAGATTGCTTTAAATATTTTGTTTGCAGAGTTAAAAGATCACTGAAATTGGATGGCCTGTTAAAAGCAAATGTAAGTATTTACTTATCAGTTTGAAACTGTGTAATAAGATTTTGTTTTGGGGCGAGGATATAGCTCAAGTGGTAGAATGCATGCCTACCATGAAAAGGTCCTGGGTTCAATCCCCGGTACCTCCTCTTGAAATAAATACATAAATGAACTTAATTACCTCCCCTCACCAAAAAATAAATTAAACAAAAAAGAGAGAGAAAGTGAAAAAAAAAATTTTGTTTTTAATTTTTTTAACAGCTAATTTACCTTTATACTAAATGTAAAAAATATCCAAAAACAACAACAAAAAAACCCCACATTGTGACATAATTGTGATTGGTATACCATTTTCTACATATAAATTTTTTTTTGTTAATCTCATATATGGAAATTCCTGGCCAGCTTGAGGTTTTTATTTAAGAGGCAAATTATTTAGAAACCTTAATGAAATAATTTAGTAGAAATTAATTTACTATTTATAGAAAAAATACTCTGCTACTTAAATGCACAAGAAATAAGATGGAGCAGTGGCAATGCTTTAATCTGCATCTGTAATCTGCTAAATTGAAATAAAAACATTAACAACATTTTTATATCAAAATATAATTGCCTCCCTCAGCTCTGCTGGCCTGATTAAACAATAAAATACTAACACTGTAGTAAATTTCACCATGGTTGTCACAATAAAAATAAAATTTGTACTATTGCTATTACTTTTTGTAAATCTAGTCACAGCACATTCCCTATGCCAGCATATGATGACATATGTTGGTTTATTATCTTTTCATACCAACAATGGGTCTGGATACAAACACTAATACCGAGATACTTATAGCCTTAGTAATTTTAAATGCAAGTAAATTGGTGAGAAAGTAAATTGAAACAAATAGCTAGTCAATTAATGAGCTCCTACAAAATCCCATATGAGAATGCCATTTCATGAAATGGGTTTTGTATGAATTTCTCTTTGGAAGACTCACTGGTATTTAACAATTTACCATTTTTAAAACGTCCTAGATGCTTTTTTAAAAAATTTAAACAAAGGTGGCAAAATACTGCAATGCCACTAAAAAAATCATTAGCGGTGTAATTAGCAATTTAGAATACCATTATCCAACTTGTTCTTTACAGAATGCAGCTGTGACTGTAATTTTGCATCTGTTTCTTTGGTCAGAATGGTATTTTGGTAGACGAGTAGTCCAGCTTGAAATGAAATACTTTTCTTTCCTGCCCCAAAACTGTTCTTTGGGAGGTGGTAACATTATTTAAATGGAAGAGAATGGCCACTTAGGAATTCATTCTTTTCATGGAGTACAGTTGTCATCATGGCAAGCTTTTTATCCATTTTTCCTTCAGATTAGGATATGTCAAGGTAGCCAGTGACACAGCTAATATCCTGTATTAGAAAAATACATTGTTGTGTTTGGCCCAAATTCTGTACTTTTAAACCAGTTGATTTAGCTTGGTAACGCATGGCCACCAACTGCTAAATGCAGATTCCTAGCATCCTAGCCTGGGCCTTCAACATTTCTATTTTCTGACCTATTTCTAATATTTATTATTATTTCTGATATTTTCAGCTTTTCTACTCTTGCCTCATCATTTATTTGTAGCTCTTACATCTGACAGCTTTTGCTCTGGTGCTAAGTCTAGGCTTATTTCCCTAGCTGCATTTATGCTTCTGTCCACTCCAGTAACAACTTAGTACTGAAGCAGCCTGGTTCCCAAGAATCTTCCCACATGCCAGTGATCTGATTGAGGCTGCCTTAGCTCATGCAAAAGAAAATCAGACATTCAGGACATACAACATACACCTATAATTCTAAGAGTACCTAACTACTGTGAAGCTACAGAGAAACTAGTAGTAAAATTTGTGGGCAATTTGCCTTACCAATGTGATGTTGAGGAGAAAAGACTCTGGTGTCCAAGGAAAGGAGATGATCCTATATACCAGTTGTTTGAGGTGGAGCCTGTTCATCCTAAACAACTGGCATTTCCTCTCCCACAGATATTTAGAATTCACAAATCCCAGTATTCCCACTGTGACTACAAACTTTTATGGAAAATAGTGCTCCATGATGTTAAGGCAAGTCTGCAAAAGTAATTTTCCTTATAATTTTCCTAATGGGAGAAACAGAGGTATGAATCATACCCTGTGATCGTCCTTTAATATATTGAGTATACACTACAAGTACCACTATTTGCTGAACCTCCCACATCGTTGGGGGCTAGAGGGGAGTGATGAAGTTTTTGATACATCATTACCTACAATATTGTGATTGCTCAAATTATTGCACTCCAAGCACTATTTCTAGATGAATTTTCAGAAATGAAGTTGAATTATTTATTACAGACTATTACAAAGTGGCTGTCCAGGTGAATATATAGCAACAACTGACTACCTGGTCAGATACCTGGCCAGCTTGACCTAATCTCTTTCAGGCCACCTCAGAGAAGGAATGGGAGAAGCA